AAACTGGCCCAACATAGCGCAATATCGCTCAATGTTGCTTCCATCATGCTTCAAGAGTCCCCAAGGCAAGTCCACGACGGGTCCAAGTAGCCTCGGAACCTCCCCAGGAGACCCGCAAGAGGCCAAACTCCTTTGACCACCCTACGGGGAACCGCTGATTTTAGCCTTCTCGCACTTTCGCTTCCGCTGGGCCCCCGAGGCCTCAAGATGCCTCCAAGAGGGCCAAGAGGGCAAGACGGCACCAAGAAAGCCCAAGAGCGCCCCGAGAGGGTCCCAGGGGACGACGTTGGGGGCTCCAAAGGGGGGCGCTAATTGAGTACCCCCCCATTTGATCAATGAACAGATTGAACAAACACAAGGGTTTGTAATAATCCCACCAGCCCTCTGGGCGTAGGTGGCCCAGGTCCACATCTCTTCCAATCCCTTTCTTCCCCTTCGGGGAAGGGTTTACTGAGCGCGCGCAATTCAGCATTTTCCTCAAGACCGTGTATGCGACGCTGGGCTATGGCTTCGGCATGGGCCCCAATTTCGTCTCGGGACCGCGTGTTCTCCTCCTCTTCTAGCATCCTTTTCTTCATCATGGCTTCTTCCTCTTCATGCTGTTCCCTCGGCATGGCCTCGTGACGTGATCACGTGCCCGGTCGTCTTCGCACTGTCGACGCCGCGTCATCACCCAGTCGTAGTGTTGCACGCGGAACGCCCGTTGGCATCGCTCACGCGCATGCGGGGCATCTGGTCTGTTGCAAACGAAGCATCGGGTTTCGTCGGACATGGCTGGTCTAGATCGCGAGCCCTCTCGTTGGGACATGGTCCCGCCGGTCGATCGGACACGCATTGCGGTTGCCGAAACCGCCCTTCTTACCGTGCTCGTCATGCCCTGCAGACCCTCCTGCGCCAGTTGTATCGCTTGTTGCCGGTGCATTGAGTCAGGTTGAGCTTCCGATGCTTGTGCAGGCGAAACAGCTTCCCTCTGGAACTGTTGTTTTGCTGCCTCGACTTCCATGTGAGCCTGCATCTCGGCATTTCGCAGGCTTGAATTGCTTCTTCCGCCTCGTTCCTCGCGCTGGCATGGCCGGCTTGGGTCACCTGAAAAACGGCCGCAGAAGCGGCGACCTGCTTTTTTTTGGGGGGGGGGGGCGATTTGGCCCGACCTGGATGCAACGCGATATCGCAGTTTGTCGTTCGCCACATCGCTAAAACTCCAACGCTGAATTGCGCGCGTGGGTCCGCAATACACACCCTGCCAGACCTCGCCATGATGCACCGCGATGCGCTGCCTCGTCCGCCCAGAAATGGTCGACGCCATCAGCGTCCGATTTTGCTCCCGATTTTGCGTCCGATGTTGCGTCCGATTTGCGTCCGATTTTGCGTCCGATTTGCGTCCGATTCTTTCCCGATTTTAAATCCGATTTGCGTCTGATTTATTTTCATATTGAATCGACACACAAAAAATCGAACGCGAAATCGGACGCAAAATCGGTCGCTTCTGGGCACAATTCCGGGCGCTCTTCCGGGCGCTCTTCCAGATTCGCGTCTGGGCCATATTCTGGGCACTCTTGATGGCGCTTTCCTGGGCCCTGTTCTCGGCGCTCTTCTGGGCTCGCCCGGGCGCTCGCCCCAGCGCGCCCCCAGGCGCTCTTCCGGGCGTTGTTCTGGTCGCCCCCGGCGCGCCTTCTGGGCGCCGGGCGCGCGCTCAATTTGCAAGGTGAAAACCGAAAAACAAACAAAGTCAGAAGCAAATCTGCTCTGCCACCGCGGCGAGGTGAGCTCGGGAAGTCGCCGCGGCGCGCTGGGCGCGTCGATGCATGGATCTCCGCTCTGCCGCCGGGCGAGTGGCCGATTCCTGTTCGGCAAGGGCCTCGGCCCTTGCTCGTGCCAGTGCTTTGGCCCCCCCGCGGGCCCCCCCCCGGATTGCCGTCGCGGATTCCGAGACTATCTTGAGTTCAGCATGTTTTTTTTTCGCAGCGCCAGCTAGTGATTCCCTAGCCTCATTCTCAAATCTTAGATGCGTTGTCTGCGCAGCGCGAAGGGTAGATTCAGCCGTCCGTTGTGCGTTGACAGCTTTCTCTCCCAGGTGGCGCTGTTCAGCAATGGCCATCGCTGTGACCTGTTCCGCTTTGGAGACCGATTGCTCATGCGCCGCAGTGGCCTCCTGGAGCTTCAGACGGATATGTTCCTCAAGTCTGGCCTCCCTGCCTTGTGCCCCGCGGAGGGCAAGACGGGCCTGTTCGGCTATGGCTCGCTCAACTTTCTTTGCTCCTTAGCCGCGCGATCCGCCGAAAGCGCAGCCTCGTGGAGGGCGGCTTTCTCCTCCTTTTCCGTTCGAAGGATTTCGTGGGGCTCATATTCCACTTGCTGTGCAATCATTTCGGGTTGCCTTTTTCTGATTAGCTTCCACGTCAGCCATCGTGGGGCGCATGGTTGCGATCTCAGAAAGGCGTTCCTGTTCTCGTTGAGGTTGCCTTATTCCTGCTGTTGCTCCCAGTCGTGGTTTTTGTAGGCAGAGCAGCTATGTTGTTTCGGAGGCAGACAATCATGACATAAATAGCTCAGATTACACAGTGGGCATAAGGATGAGCAGCCTCGGCATTCAGGCTTCTGGCATTGTCGACTGTCGGACGCTCTGCCCGGACGGCAGTTCTCTGGGCCTTCTGCGCAATCTGGCCCGCGGTGCGCACAGGTTTCTCTCATCGTAAATCGGGGCGCCGATGATCTCGGGAGATGAACCGCGGTGCGACCCTCTCGAATTGCGACTGCGACCGCCCTCTCCCGATCGCGACCTCTGGGAGATTAAGCTCGGCGAGTCAAAGAGCTGCCTCCCGCGAGATCTGGCACGAGGGACTGGGGCGGGTTCGTCATGGACGCCCGACCCGCCAAGCTCAGTCTTTGGGCGCTTTTCGTATGGGGGCAACATGATGTTTGCCGGATCCTCTCTTGGGATCTTTCCATGCCGCGCATCTGTCGCGCCCCCCCGGACGAGGCCCCTGGGTCTTCAGCGCGGGCGTCGCCATCTTCGGGGCTCGCATTTTCTGCCGCGCGTCGGACATGGCCCGCGGCGTGCCTTGTCGGCGCGCCTTCGAGGATCGACGTCTCGAGGATCTCCGATGAGCTCGAAATGGAGAAAGTCTCCTTCTTGTTGGTCGGAGTCTTAACAACGCCTTCCTCGTCGGACGAACTGGAGTTCAGGACGTAGGCTTGCGCGACATCGTCAGATAATGGGTTGCGTGGGCGACCTTTTCCTCCATGCAATTCCTCGCCCTGCTCCGGTTCATCGTCGAGAGGCGAATCTTGCCGTCCACGGTTAACAAGGGCGCCATCATTTCGCATCGAGTCGCTGGCAAGGGAGGGAAGACGAATGGGGGCGTAAGGGCTCCTCGAAACCAGCTGAAGGATGGCTTCGTTGTCCCGCTCGTTAGGGGAAAGCTGACGTGTGGGCGCGGTGGAACTTCCCAGTACTGTCTCTTCTGGTTCCTGGATGCGCTGAAAAGTCGATTGCTTCGGTCCGTTGAGTTGGACCTCATGCGTTCCTGGCTTTGTAGGGCCAAGGTCACATCGCATAGTTTGTTCGTCTTGTCAGAAGATGATCTTAGTTGCCCCCGGATGACCAACATGGCCGGTTATCCTCGGGATCGAACTTTCGGCGGATAACCCATCTTTACCCAACCTAGGCCCAACAGGGCCAATATCATCAGGTTGTACTGGTCGTAGACTCGGGGTCCATAGTAGTGGATCCAAGGAAATGGCGCCAGGATGTAAGGTTCGGGCGCCCGTTAAGCAGTGTGGAAAGGAACGATATAATAATGGGGAGCGCGCGGCACGCGTGCGAGCCCTTTACTAATCCTCCGATCCGAAACAGCTTCATATCAACTATATGCTCGAGCAAGGCTGTATGCATATATATATATATATATATACACATATATATGCAGAAACGGCGGCAGGGAACGTATGGTAACGTAACGACTCCTCCTCCTCCTCCTCCTCCTCCTCCTCCTCCTTCCTCCTCCCTCCTCCTCCCTCCTCCTCCCTCCTCCTCCTCCTCCTCCTCCCTACTCCTCCCTCCTCCCTCCGTCCCTCCTCCCTCCTCCCTCCTCCCTCCTCCTCGTCCTCGTCCCTCCTCCTCGTCCTCCTCCCCCCTCCTCCCTCCGCGCCCTTCTCCCTCCTTCTCCCTCCTCCTCCTCCTCCTCCGCCTCCTCCCCCGCCTCCTCCGCCTCCCTCCTCGTCCTCCTCCTCCTGCTGCCTCCTGCCTCCTGCCTCCTCCCTTTCCTCCCTTCCCTTTTTCCCTCCCTTCCCTCCCCCCCTCCCCCCCTTCCCCCCCCTCCCCCCCCCCCCCCGTCCCCCCTCCTCCCTCCCCTCCCTCCCCTCCTGCAGGATCACCGATAGGTGTCTCTGAATAAGCGTCGATGCAATATCGTCAACTGTCTATAGGTCCGTGGATCTCAGCTCTCTTTTACTTCAGCACGCGCGAAGCCGAATATGTTAATCTCTCCTCGCCGCCAGCGTTGGTCTGCACGCAGTCCGGGTGTCGTCCAGAAAGCCAGCCCAAGAATATGTCCCAGGGAAATCTCTTCGTTCGAATATTCTGATATTCGGTCTCGGCAACCTGGCTGGCTCTCTGGAAGCAGCAAGTAAAATCTCTGACCACCCACCAGGCGGCTCAAGGGGGCCCTCGGCCACAATGGGCACGGCTAGCTGCAAGTGACACTCGTCTCACCTTAACGGAAACGAGACGGACGCGGTTGAGTTCGCATCCCCAGAAATCTTTCTTGCAGCTAATCCACAAAACAGCTTGGGCCTCTAAAACAATCGCACCCGCTCTGGTGCGTCGCAGAAATAAAACAGGCAACTGCGGCACACAGGCGTTAGCCATAGGATGTAGGTTCACTCACTATCCGGTTATCATCATCATTGTCATCACCGCCTGCGGCATCAGGTAACGACACTCCTGCTTTCATGAATGTCATTTTATGAAGCCCGAGATATCCTTGTTGTTCTCGAACCTGCTCATCCCGCGCTCCTTCCGCTTCTTGGCGCTGAGCTGCTCGTCGTCGTCTACCAGTGCCCAGCTCCATGTCTTCATGTGCAGGTCGATGGGTCCCGTAGCTGTCGTCTTAGTCAAGCTGTCGGCTGGGTTGGCCTCTGAGTGGCGCCACCTCACGATCAGCTCCGTCTCGTTGATGCACTTCTCGAAGGCCATCAGCTCCAGCGCCGTGCGTTTCTCGGCCAAGCTCTGCATCTGCACCTGCCTGGCAAGACAATCGTAGATGCTCTTTGCGTCCGCGCGCAGGCGCGATCGCACCTGCCTCGCGCCCTCCAGCATCGGCTTTGTCGTCTTACTCTCGCTCGCGGTTCCCATCGCCACGTCCGATGCGAAACCATTCAGCTCGGCCCGCGTCATTCTGACCATGAACAGCTCATCCTCCGTCACTGTCAGGGCCTGGACCTCGGCCGCCAACGAACTCCTCGCCACGCGCTGTAGCTTCCCACTGCGGTGCGAAACCCAGCCCACTGGAGCCCGCTTCCCGTTCAGGATGTCCGCCGGCGCGATCCCAATCACACACCCTCCTGTCGGGAGTCCGTCCGGTCGATTCGCCCGGGCTGCATCGCTCCAGCCCGCGACCACGCCTTCGCCCTCGAAGCTCTCGAACTTCAGCTTGTAGCCCTGGTCGTTCTTCATCTGCCTGACCAGCTTATTGATCCCGAAGAGCGTCTCCACTGTCGCCGTCGGTCCACTGCTCTGGAAGATAGAGCACTGCGCCTGGTACTTCGGCATCGTCTGCATCGCCACCCACTGGATCTCACCCAGTGCCCCCCGAAGCATTGTCATCTCCTTATCCGTCAGCTTCTGGTCCCGTTGTTTGCGACGCTCCTGGCCGATGTTGATCTCGGTGATGTTGTCGATGAACTCCTTCTGGTGTATGGTGATCTCGCTGCAGGCCATCTGCGTGACCGACAGTCCGGTCTGCTTGAAACTTCTTTCTTCCCATGGAGTCCAGCGGAACGCCTTCTGCAGCTTCGCCTCGATCTCTCGCCATCGAACTCCACCGTCTCCGGCGATCAGGAAGTCGCCCACGCGTGTGCCAAGTACTCCGAACACGTTGTCGTTCTCGCCGCTGAAGAGCCAGACGCACGAGTCCGACACGCATCGTTGTCCACCGAGCTGCTCCATCAGGGTGTCCACGCTCTCGTGCCGCGACTTTGGCGCTTGGCATAATCCGTGCACTGCCTTCTTGAGCCTCACTGCCGTCCCTCTAGGTACTCCGAACTCCTCCGCCAGCTCATCGTTGGCCTCGATGTAGGTCGGCTTGTCGTCGGGCATCCCTTTTCCTTGCAGGAACGCGGCCTTGACGTCGCCCTTCTTAAGCTTCCACTTCTTCATGGCCGTCATCTGGAAGATCATGTTCCGAGCTCTCCTTGTCATAGTCGCGATGCTACTGGTTCTTCTCCTAGCCTAGGATCTTGATATCCCAGCACCACCAGTCTGGCCTTTGCTCGGCAGCCTCCTGTCGTTTCGTCCTTCTTCCAGGTGACTACCCAGCGCGTCTTCAGAATATCTGACGACTTCGGCTTGATGTGTGGCGGTAGTCTCTCCAGCACGTCGTTGGCGACCCAGTCTCTCGCCTCAACCAACTTCGCCCCCTTCATCAAACTCGTCTGCTCATCGGTCATGTGCTTGACGCTCGCCTCAGACCTTCCTTTCTTCATCGCCTTGGTGATGTACTGCTCCGGCTGCCTCGTGAACTTGCGCATGCTGTTCGCGTCGAACGCCTCGAGCGCGACCTCGACGTAGTCGGTCCCCGTCGGGATCTCCAGGTCCTCCTGGATCTCCGTAGCCGCCCATGCTGCCACGTCAAAGTTCCTCAGCCAAGCTTGTCCCCGTCCAGCTGGTAACCGTCCGCTAGTCTGTCATTGAAGAAGGCACAGTAGCTCCTCAGTGCTGGTCCGAAGTTGGTCCGCATCCTGACCCTCCTTTTCGTCTTTTCGAACAGGTCGGTCTTGACTTTCCTCTTCTCGACGATCCGTCTTCTGAGATCTGCTTCCCCTGCAAATGTCTGTTTAGTGGTCTTGACCTTCTCGCTCTCGATGTCACCCATCGACGGCTGGTCTGTCTCGTTGTCCTCATGGGTCTCCGGGACCTGCTCCACGACCGTCTTCTTCGCTTCCTCATGGATCACCTCCTTATTATTCTGGTCCACCTTCATCTCCTCCGGCTTGTCCGCAATGGGGAACAGGTAAGTCCTGCCCGTCCAGCGTCGCCCCGTTGACCTCGTAGACTTCCCATTCGCGTTCCAGTTGTCGCCCTTGACCGTCTCCTCGGAGCCGTCCTCGTACTTTATCACGGTGATCCTCCCCATGGTCGTCTTCTCCAGCTTGGATATGAGGCCTCTTGGCGTAAACAACGCCACTCTCGGTCGTGCATGTACTCGAACATGTGCAGGTCGTCCTTCGAACTCTGGCTCCTCCTTGTCTCCATCTTCTGGTGCACGAGCTGTGGTCTCCGGCGTGTAGGTCTCCTCGTTCATCGGCCCGTCCCCCTTGTCCGCTGAAATCACCTCACCCTTGTTGATTGAGACTTCCCAGTCCCTCCACGAACGTCCAGGGTGTGTGCTTTTTTCTAATAACATCTCTTCTTCTCTTGGGCTTGCCGCTCGCAACTGTTCTGGTGCACACCTCCACAGCCTCGACCCCATCACGACCCATACCTTTCTGGATTGAACGAGCGCCCCGTCGCCTGTTCTCGTCGTCTGTACTCCGAGAAAAGTCCCTGGTCCAAACCATCTGCCCTTGTCAATCCCGTGGCGTCGTGGTCCTGCTGGTGCTGGTTGCTTGGCCTGCTTGCCACATCTCCACACGCAGACCAACATCCCAGGATACAGGTGTTGAGGTCGTTGATCTCGTGCTGCAGCTGCTCTGGCCTGCTGCTGCTTGAGAATGCGCTCGCCAATGATTTTGGGTGCCGGCGCCCGCCTGGACAGGTTCTCCATGTAGCTCTGGTTCGTGCACTTCACGACGTCCAGGTGGTCCTCCTTCTTGAGAGTCCCCGACCAGTTATTATCTCGTCCAAAGGCTGATTGGCTTGGACTGTAACCGTCGACCCTCTCGCCGGTGTTGTGTGCCTCCACCGCTGCATGTACCGCCGCCTTCAGGTCGGTCTCGTGATCACGATGCATGGCCTTGGCGCACTCGAACACCGTCTTGATCGCACGCTCCGCGATGCCGTTCTGCCAGTGAGCCTGAGTAGCACACGGAGCCACCTGGACTCCTTCACCAGCAATGCTGTCGTAGAACTCGTGCGACACGAATGCTCCTTCAGGGTCAAGCCTAAGTGCGCTCGGCATGCCATACCGATCTGACCAGTGTCCTCTGAAAGCATTCAGCATCTCCTTGGCGGTGCAGTTCCTCGACTCCTGGGCGGGTACTGAAAAGATCTTGACCGCCAGTGTCAGCTTGCTCGCCTCGTCCATGATCACAAGGTACTCCTGCTTGATCTGGTCGTTGCCCACGATCTCCTTCACGTCGATGCCTACCACCTGCCATAGATCTCGAGCTGGATCGAGTACTGCTGTTGGTCTCGGTCTGTGCACCTGATTCTCGATGCACGAACTGCACTTGATCTGCTTCACGGCTGCGAATGTCGTCGCTGAAGCCCCACGTCTCCGCAGAATCCTGATCATCACCCTCGGTGGTCGGTGCCCCGTATTCCGATGCAGGCGCATCACCGCCCTCATTAACTCGTTCTGCTTCAGCGCCGGCAAGTCGTTCCACTGCTGTTGCTCGTCGCTCGTCAGCTCTAGCTCGCTCTCGTGGTCGAACATATCCTTGTTGTCGTTCGCCAGGGCTTCCTCCTGCCTTAGCTCCTCGATCAGGCCCGTCAGCTTCGGCGGTTCCACAATGTTCCGCCAGATGATCCTCGCCATTCTCGCAGGGTATTTCCCCGACAAGGTAGCATCCTTCCCACAACATTCCGCATGTCCGTGTCCTTGAGGATCCGGGCAGCGTTTGCCGCTCAGGGCCGTCGCAAGCTTCTTTCTGCTGGTCCACAGCGTCCACGGCTTGTGGATTGGCTCGCCCTTAGTGTTGACTACCCCGACGTGGCACCCGGCGAAGTTCACCCTCTCCATGCCCAGCTCGTCGAAGAACTCCGTCAGCTCCGGGAAGTACTTCCAGCCATGGCAGTTGCGTGGCCACTCGAAGTGCACGTCGCCCCCATTGTCTTTGACGATCCTGCTCACTTCCACGAAGTGATTCACGATTTTCTTGATGTTCTTCTTTCGTGCTTCGAGCTTCGTCCAGTACTGGCCTTCCTGCCTGCCAATGTAGCCGTTGCGTAGTGCACTGACTGCCGTGCACGGTAGGCTTCCCCAGATGTCTGCTCCAGGGTTCTTCACCGCCAGGTTCTTAGCCAACTCAAGCCCGTTCTTCGTGCTGAGATCTGCGTCCTTCCTGGTAATCCTGATGATCTCGGCATCCTTGCGCTCTTCCGCGACCTTCCCGAGCTGGCTGTCCTCCTCCGTGCAAAACTCGATCAGCTGTTTCACGTAGAGGTCTGTCGCCACCCCGGCTTCCGTCACCTGCTCTAGCACCCAGCTGTAGTCCTTCAGGTTGATCTCCTCCTTGTGGTACTCCACGTCAATCCCGAACGTGATGACGTCGTCGTCCCCTGGGGGGACGTCGGTGGCGGGTCTCAGGGACCCTCGGGCTCCCCGCCCTGGGGGGGGCTCCTTCTTTTTCCTGCGCGTCGGTGGGTCCGCTCGCCGCTTGGTGCTGTCGCGCGTCTGGTCGAACATCAGGTCGGCCTTGCTCATCTGGTCGGTGCCCGGGCACGGCGTCTCCTCCTCCTCGGACTCTCCGGCCTTCTCGAATGAGTCCTCCGAAGACACCTCCTCTCTCTCTCTCTCTCTCTCTCTCTCTCTCTCTCTCTCTCTCTCTCTCTCTCTCTCTCTCTCTTCTCTCTCCGACGTCGCCTTTTCCTTGGTGACCTTTTCCTTCGTGATCTCTTCGATCTTGATCTTTCCCACGGTCTGTCCCAGAGCCCCCCTCTGCCTGTGCCTGATCGTCGCCCTGTGCTTCGGAATGTGCAGCATGGCCAGCTCGCATCTCACGCACTTGTAGCTCACCTTGTTGCCCCTGGCGTGCCTCGCCAGCGGGTGCGTCGTGTCGCTCGCCGTAGCAGGGCTTGCCCGTGTAGCGATCGTCTTTCTCGTTGGCAGATTCCGCTCTGTCCCAGTCCAGTCGTAGATCCCGACGATCCAGTGTCATCCATTCGCCGATGGTCCGCTTGCCCCATCGCTCTGGATCGGTCTGTCGTCGCTGTCGGTCTCCACTGGCCCTCCGAGGTCCTGAACCACCGTCGAGGTCCTGTCCTTCTTGATGTTGCGGTGCTTGCTGCTGTCGATCGGGGCGTCGGCTGCTGGCGTCGATGCTGCCGCTGCCGCCCCGGGCATGGTCCCCGATGACCTGCACCCGCTTGGCGTTGACCCGCTGAAATCTGGATCTTGAGCCATCGCGTTGCGGATCGCACTCAGCATCACCGCCACCATTATTCATGATTATCTGGGGTACTTCGCATTTCTCGTGTAGGACATCTGTTGCTTTCATCTCTTGGGGCTTTGGAGTCTTCTCGAACCCATTCGAAACGCTCGCAGGCCTCTGAGATCCCCTGAAAGACGTCTCACACGTGTCTGGAGTCACATACCTAGATCGTGTCGGTGTAGTCCGGATCGCCGAAAGTCTCCGAAATCGGGTCGAAGTACTCGCAGTCCTTGATCGAGCTGTCGTTCGCGTCGGACTCGCACATGTACTCGAAACCCGTTCCCGCTCGGAACTCGTCGGTCTTATTTTCAAACCCGTGCCAGCAAAATCCTCAATGGTTTCTGTAATGAAATTCCCGTCCTCGGAAGTCTCAAACGGCGCCCTATTGATCTCGGTCCCCTCCTCTGCTCTCACTGTTCTGGTAGGTCCTCCAAGCCAGTGGCGTGATGCTGGCTTTATTTTCCTGAAACCAGCACCGCAGAAGGAGGGGCGCTGTCCCCATTCAGGGCTCGCGGCTGGATCGGCCGCCGCGACCCTCGCAGTGCCGAGAGCCTGCTGTAAATCCTCGAGCTTCTGCTTGAAGTCGTCCCTGTCGGTGTTGTTCACCTTCGCGTCGTAGAGATCCTTCGTCATGTCGATGCACAGGTGCCCCGTCGAGATCCGCTTGAGCTTCGCCACCTTGTTCTTCGTGATGTTGTTGAAACAGGCGATCCCCGTCTCGAAGTCGATGATCGCTCCAGCGCGCTTCAGGAAATCCACTGATCTCAGCAGCGGTACGTAGCGGCCCCCCTTGGTGTTCAGCGCATAGCCCGACGCGCTTCCCAGATTGCCGTTCGCCTGCAGCGGAAGATTCGCCCGGCACGAACACTGCTCCGCGTCGCCGTTAGCGAGCCCGAACTTCGGCCGATCTGCCACATCGACCTTCACGTTGCTCGCGTCGATTCCAGCCTGCTGCTGCTTCTCGATGATCTTCTCGAGCGCCACGATCGATCCGAACGTCTGTGTTGCTCCGCTGTCGAGCACCATGCGCCCCTCCGTCTCGTCTGCGAGCCCGGCCCGCGCGTGCTCCACCTCGAACTCCGTGTAGGCCATCTCCAGGTTGGTCTCCTCGAGCTCGTCTTCGTTGGCCTCGGCCTCCCAGTTCGCGAAGCTGAGCGCCAACGCTCCAACCTGTGATGCTCGTCCGCGTGGCTGCTCCCTGCCTCGGTTCTCCGGGTTCTTCGGGCAGTCGGCCTTCCTGTGCGGCCCGCTGCAGATGAAGCACGGCCCACCTTGACCCTTGCCACCTGTCTTGCCCTTGCCCTTGCCCTTCTGGAAGTGCCCTCGGCTTTGCTTGATATCTTTCACCACGGCCCGCGCTTGTGCCAGCGTCCTCTTCTGGTTCTTGACTTCCTTCTTGGCTCCGGCGATGACCGCCAGCGCCTCCTCCGCCTCCGCGCGTTCATCCTCGCCCAGACCTTCGAGGTCGGGTTCGTCCTCGTCCCAGTCGAACTCCGCGTAGGCTTCGCAGTCGTCTTCCGGGTCTTAGTCGTCCAGAACCTCCTCTCGATCATCTTCATCTTCTCCAAAGACTCGTAGTGCTCGTCCACGGCCAGGTTTGCGCGGGAACATATCTCGCTTCTTGTTGTGCGCGTCGTGCTCCTTCAAGTCCACGTCAGCCCACTGGCCCCGCAGCGCCGCCTCGATGTGCTGCAGGTTCAGCGAGTTCTGGGCCGACGACAGAACTCCGGCGCGCTCTTGAGCGTTGAGTCCTGCTCTTTGAAGCAGCAGCCATCCCGCCATCACCGACGGGATCAGCGTCTCGCGCGCCTCCGTCGCCACCTCCTTCAGCGCTTTGATGTCCGCATCATCATCCTCCATGTCGAAACGTGCCATCAGTGAGCACAGTGCATCCGTAGCCTTCTCCTTCAGCGTCACCTTCTTGTGTGCCTTCAGCGACGTCGTCGCCTGTGGCCAGGTCCAGCCAGCCGACCCTGTCGGTGAACTCGACCACCAGCTGCTGCCGTACCACCAGCTACCCTTCCAGTAACCTTCGTTCTCGTCCTTCCAGCCGCTGGCATCCTCTGCGCCTCCGTCGTCGCCTTCAGGGCCTTCACGTTCTCGAATCGACTCCAGCGTCACGGACTCTGTTTTCTCCTCGGGCCGCGTCTTCTTTACTAGCTTGATCTCTGTCGTCGTGTCCTTCTCGTCGATCCGCCTGAAGCTCTGGTCCAGCTTGTCTGCGACGATCCTGCTTCTCTGAGCGTAGGCCTTCATGCCCTCGTTGTTCCTCCGTCGCAGCGTGAACAGATACTCCTTCAGGTACTTCGCGGCCTCTGGTATCGGCTCGTCCATGAGCGTCTCGTCCAGGAACTCTAGCAATATTTTGTGACCGCCCGCCTTCTCCAGCAGCTCCCGTCCCTCGTCTGAGACCTCCTCGAGCGCCTTCCACGCTTCTCCAGTGAGAGCTGCCGCCAGTCGAGCTCCCGCCACTTGTTTGTCTCGAGGTGAAAGACCAGCCACATACCAATTCACACGATCTCGATACTCTTGGAATCTGGTAACGTCTCCATCCCATGTCGGAATCTTCTTGCCGTCCTCGCGAGATTCTCCCATCTCGCCGGCTGTCCAGATATTGGAGCCAACCGGCTCCGCTACCAATGCAGGATCACCGATAGGTGTCTCTGAATAAGTGTCGATGCAATATCGTCAACTGTCTATAGGTCCGTGGATCTCAGCTCTCTTTTACCTCCGCACGCGCGAAGCCGAATCTGTTAATCTCTCCTCGCCGCCAGCGTTGGTCTGCACGCAGTCCGGGTGTCGTCCAAAAAGCCAGCCCAAGAATAAGTCCCAGGATAATCTCTTCGTTCGAATATTCTGATATTCGGTCTCGGCAACCTGGCTGGCTCTCTGGAACCAGCAAGTAAAATCTCTGACCGCCCAAAAAGCGGCTCAAGGGGCCCCTAAGCCACAATGAGTACGGATAGCTGGAAGTGACACTCGTCTCACCTTAACGGAAACGAAACGGACACGGTTGAGTTCGCATCTCCCTCCCCTCCCCTCCCTCCCCTCCCGCCCCTCCTCCCCTCCCTCCCTCCCTCCCCCGCGCCTCCCTCCCTCGTCCCTCCCTCCCCCCCCAAATCCCTACCCCTCCCATCACCCTCCCTCCCCTCCCTCCCCCCCCTCCTCTTCCTCCTTCCTCCCCCTCCTCCCTCCCTCCCTCCCTCCCTCCTCCTCCGCCTACTCTTCTTCTTCTTCTTCTGCTTTTTGCTTGTGCTTCTGCTTCTGCTTCCTCTTATTTTCTTCTTCTTCTCTTCTTTCTTTTGTGGGCCGCCTCCTCCCTCCTCCTTCCTCCTCTTCCTCCTCCTCCTCCTTCCTCCTCCTCCTCCTCCTCCTCCTCCTCCCCCTCCTTTCCCCCTCCTCCCCCTCCCTCCCTTTTCTCTCTCCTCCTCCTCCTCCTCCTCCTCCTCCCTCCTCCTCTCCCTCCTCCTCCCCCTACCTCCCGCTCCCTCCCTCCTCCCTCCTCCCTCCTCCTCCTCTCCTCCTCCCCTCCTCATCCTCCTCCTCTCCTCCTCCTCCTCCTCCTCCTCCTCCTCCTCCTCCTCCTCCTCCTCCTCCTCAACCTCCTCCTCTCCTCCTCCGCCTCTCTCCTCCTCTCCCTCCTCCGCCTCCTCCTCCTCCTCCTCCTTCTCCTCCTCCTCCTCCTCCTCCTCCTCCTCCTCTCCTCCATCCTCCTCCGCCTCCTCCTCCCTCCTCCCTCCTTCCCTCCCTCCTCCCTCCTCTTTCCCTCCTCTTTCCCCCTCCTATCGTCCCTCTCCCTCCTCTTCCCTCCTCTTCCCTCCTCTTCCGTCCTCTTCCTCCTCCTTCCTCCTCCTCCCTCCCTCCCTCACTCCTCCTTCCTCCCGTCCTCCCTCCTCCCTCCTCCCTCCTACCCATCTCCCGCCACCTCCTCCCTCCTCCTCCCTGCTCCTGCTCCTGCTCCTGCTCCTGCTTTTGCTCCTGCTCCTTCTTTCGTTCCTGCTCCCTCCTCTTCCTCCTCCTCGTCCTCCTCCTTCTCCTCGGGTTGGCCTGACGGGGCCATTATGAATTTGATGAGGTTCAGTCTGAAATCGGGGTCGGGAATCTGCTGGCCTGGATCAATCCAGGTCTGGGCCAGTCGGGCTTTGCAGGATCCTGCACGCAAGCCTGGATCAGTGCACGCCTGGTTCTTCAGGATCCTGCAAAATCTGGCGTCAGGATGAAGATCCGTTCGGGTGAGGATACAAGGAGAATCTCTAAGATCCAGCAGCTCTGGAAGATGTCTTGGGTGCCGCGGCCTTCTCAGAGCGTTCCGGACCTAGCT